AATCAGTTTCAATCTGAATATTATAATTTTAGCAGTCCATAACTTCTAAATAGCAATAAACCATCCTTGAGAGCATGCAACTCAGCTTCCGTGTTGGAACACAACTCATAAAAAAAAGAAGCAGCCAGAACTATGTGCCCCAAGTCATTCCTTACCACAGCTCCGCCCCCAGCTCTTCCAGGATTTCCTTTCGATGCCCCATCCACATTTAGCTTTAAAATGCCCGAAGGAGGAGGGGACCAGTTTATGCAAATAATTTTTTGTTTCAGCTCATGCCTCAGCTCTACCTTTAATGCCCTCAAGAATTCCATACCAATCATGCCTTCCTTATCTTTGGGTCTAACGCCATAAGCCTGAAGACGCAGAGTGGAGCAGATATCTAGAAACACAGCATAGGCCGAGAGTGAGCTATCTTCATAGACCCTTCTGCATCGCTCCCTCCATAATCTCCAAATTACCACCAGTGGAACACCTCTTAACAAGTTCTGACTTACAGAGTGTTTTTTAGAAATTTTGATCAGTCTCATCATACAAACCAAAGGATTCAGCGGAGAAAACCTGAAAACCACGAAATGCAGCCAGTTTCCCCCAAACCTCTTTATCAAAGTTGCATTGTATGAACAGGTGAGAAGTAGATTCCACAGCCTTGTAACGTAGAGAACATCTGCTGGCCAAATCAACACCGACCCGCTGGAAGTTTGAGTCCTCTACTACTGCTTTCTGATATATCTTCCAGCCCAGCAGTTTTGCACTTGGGAAAACCGATTGGTTCCAGATCACAGAGGTCACAGGCACAGGGACACTCGAAGCTCTCACTGCCTCCCAAGCAGACTTGACATTGGACTCTCCCGAATCAGTTATTTCCATATATCAGTCGATCTTCTTTTCGCTTAAACAAATCATAGAATTCTGTACTTCATGCTTTAACTGTTCAGATACCTGCACCCCCAAACTTTGCCACTGCCAGCACCCATCAGCCCATAACTCATCCAGGCATGGAAAGCACGAGGGAGAAACGACATACCTGAGCAGAAGAGGGCCAGATCCAGTCCAGTTCGAACACCAAAAGTCAACATTCTTCCCATTCCCCACCATGACCTGTGAGTTGGTCATAATCAAGCTAAAGAAAGGTTGCAGCATTCGAAATATACGCATTTTTCCAGTACCCGTGCATCGCATCAAGTGATTGCCTCTTAAGAATTTTTCTCTAAACATGTTTGCCCACAGAGAGTCGCCCTTAAGAATACCCCATGCCTGCTTCCAACGGTATGCCGTTTGGATATCTTCAAATTTACGAATCCCTAGGCCCCCCTCTTGCTTGGGTCTTGTAATTACAGACCATGAAACCCAATGCCTTTTCCTCTCCCCCATCCTGCCTAGCCACATAAAGGAGGCCATGAGAGAATTCAACTTTGCCAGGATGCCTTTGGGCACGCTTAGACAAGCGAGCAAATGAATAGGAACAGAATTAAGGACTGATTTAATCAACACAATTCTGCCCATGTTTGAAAGTAAGCGTGCGTACCACCCTTCCATTTTGGCTTTGAATTTTAGGACCACATCCTCAAAATCCCGCAGTTTATATCTTCCTCTTATCATGGGGCATCCCAGGTAGACGAAGGGACATTGTTTTATTGGAATTTGAGCAATTCTGGATAGAGTCATTGTCCTGCCCCGAGGATATTGGAGGAACATATGAAAGAGCTTTTATGTTTACTTATCCTCTGTCCAGAGCTATCCTTGTATCTTGCCAAAAACCTCATCAATCGTTCCATGGAAAGTTTATTACCCCTAAGAAACAGTAGAGTATCATCTGCAAAAAGCAGATGAGAGACAAGAAGTGCATTCCTCCCTGCATGAAAAGCCTTGATTCTGCCTTCACCATACAGCTTCAACAGTCCTCTACTTAAAACCTCCTCTGCCAGAATAAAGAGAGCCGGAGAAATTGGGTCACCTTGTCTCAGTCCTCTAGACGAAGGAAAGAAACCGAATCTTTTCCCATTCAAGCAGACCGAGAAAAATTGATTCTTTAAGCAGTTGCCAATGATAGAAATGAACAAGCTTGAAAAGCCAAAACAAGTCAAGGTTCTTTTCAAAAATCCCACTCTATGCGATCGTACGCCTTTCATCATATCCAGTTTAAGAATCACGTTGCCAGCCTCAACTTTCCTATCAAGCTCTACCACCATTAACTGAGCTAAAGAAATACAGTCCCCAATCCCTCTCCCTTTGACAAAACCATGCTATGCATTTGAAATCAGAGATGGAAGAAGGGAAGCAAGTCTATTGGATAGGATCTTAGTGAAGACTTTGTATAAAAAATTGCATAGACTTATGGGCCTGAACTCTGAGAAAGAACAGGGCTTCAACACTTTTGGAATCAAAACGAGGAGTGTGGGGTTGACCGATCTTGGGACCACTCCCCCACTTAAGAAAAAGTTAACCGTTTCTAACATGTCATGTTTAATAATATCCCATGCAACTTGAAAGAATCTACCAGAGAAACCATCAGTTCCAAGGGCGCTTTCCACAGATATAGAAAGCACAACCTATTTAACTTCAATTAAGGTGGCAGCCATAGTCAAATTCTCGTTGTCAGTTGGTCCAACAAGCTCAGGAATGACCCCAAATAACTCTTCATCAAGGGTATGGTTTTTAGACTTGTACAATTTAGTAAAGAAAGTGACAGCCTGATGAGAAATCTCCTCCTCAGAGCTACAAGAAAGTCACATACAAGAAAGTCATTTATTTGTTATGGGTAGAAGCGAACAATTGGTATGTGAAGGATGAAGTAAATATAGAGATGTGGTTGAGAGAAAAGGAGTTAGGAAACCAAAAGTTTAAAAATGGAGATGTGTATGATTAATGTCACAAATGTTTGGTATTTAAATTCAATGGTGATCTTGGCATTTTCAAAATTTGGAGGACACAAGTGTCTAAAAAATGTTTTTCATATATGTTGATATTTTATAGTAGTATAGATATAGATATTTTCTTAATAAAATCCGGAGTAACCTAAGTATAATTATTATGGTTTTAAACTCATGTTTCTCATTTTATGGGAATCAGGGTGTGACACACACTAGATATTGATATATGCTTAAATATTGCTTTAAATCTCGATCATTGAATATTATGATTATGTTCAAACCTTTGTTCTAGTCAAAATGAAGTCCTTGTTCAAAGTGTAAATAAAACATATATTTGTACTAGCAATGCGCCACGTGCGTTGCACGTGACTATTTTTTTTAAAAAAATTAATAAATAATTATTTGGTATATATGTTTGAATTAAATATCATCTCAATTTTACCAAATTTATTTTTTCATTGCTCATGCTCCATTATAGAATTTTTGAAAATTTTGTATATTTTCAAGATTGGTTATTCTAACTTTAAGAAAAATGATCGGTTATTATTTGATATAACATAGTTTAAAAAGTTTACTATAACTAAAAAATTATATAAAACTATATATACATTATTTTTTTCTTAAAAATAAAATGGTTTTGATGAAAAATAAAATATACATACGTAGTCATAATATTATCTTTATAAATGAGATGAGTAATATTATATTAATGGAGTTTTTGAAGGTTTTTTTTTAATATTTTGTTAAAAGTATAATAATGCATATATTTTTTGAAGAGTATATATAAGTCAAAAAGTTTCATAAAAATTGACATTTATAAATAAAGAATAAATAATTAAAAAATTAATTTGATTAAGATTTTACTTATAAATCATTTAATAAAATAAAAATAATTATCAATAAATTAATCATATTGGAACCTTACTGTATTAAGATTATCTAGGTCAATTGTGATAAAATTTAATATACAATGCTATAATCTATATAATAAAGTAGAGTTGAGTTTGAATCCAAGAGACAAAGAGTGGTTCAGATCGTTTTGAGACAAAACATAAGCACATCCGACGGACAATGTAATCTCAACATAAAAGACGGTTCAGATCATTTCAAAAATTTTGATCTAACGGTATATTGTGATTACCGAAATTAGTTTCCCCGCCCAACAAAATTCCTGTTTTAATTATAAGGGCTTTTTGCTTGACTGACGCCCCAGTCTCCTCTGATTCCCCCATATCTTCCCCTAAAATCTCTCTCAGAATCCTTCTCAATCTCATCCTCTGCCTTCCAAACTCATCCCCAAAATCTTCCCTACTACCATCCCCAAAATCTCTCATGCCCAGCTCATCCCCAAAATCTCTTACGCCGAGGTATCTCAGTAATTGCTCTAACAATTTGTCTCCTCCCTTTCTCTCTGGAGTCCAACTCCGGCGACCCAAATATTCCAACATTCACCACAACTCTCACCATGCTTTTCCTAAACCCTATTTTTTTTTTTTTGAAAAAAAGGAGGATATATTGAAATGAGCAGAAATTACAAGAAGCAAGGAAGCCGGGCTTTAACAAAAACAAGGAAGCCAATGTGGCATAAACCATCAAAAAAGAAAAGGACATAAAATGGGACATGAAGGCCAGCAAAAGCCAGCTGAGAGTCCAGCTGAAGATCCAGAAAATTCAGCTGGAGGAAAGCTGGAAACCCAAGAGACAGCAACTGCGAGATGATGAAAACCATGAGGAATGAACATAAGCCCAGAACCAACACAGCAACTGAGAGCCCGCTGAGAACAAATCCCCAGCTGACTGCCGAAGGAAGCAGCAACAGAGAAACCCACAGCAGCAGACCAATAGCCAGCGTCAAGCAGATGAAAGAACCGCTGAGAGACCATGAGAAAATCAGCAAAACCAGCTGAAGAAAAAGAGACCAGAGGTGGCCAGCAGCAGCGACAAGAAAGCTGTGCACATGAACCATCACAGCAGCAAGTGGAGCCCATAAGAACCAGCAGAGAACCACAAAGAAATCATGGAAAACCAGCTGGAAACCCGTTGAGACCAGCTGGAAATCCAGCTGAAAACCCTCTGAGCAGAACCGTGGAAAGCCTTCAATGTTTACCAAAGATAAAGTCTGATAAAACCAGCTGTAGCAACAAAATGAGCCACGATCCCCAGCTGAAATCAGCACAAAATCCAGCTGAGATCCAGAAAAAACCAGCTGAAAGAGCCCATCAGTAGCCGCAAACAGGCTGTCCATGTGAACAGTAGCGTGAACAGTGTGTCATGACCAAAACCAGTTGAAAACCATCTGAAAATCACCCACAGCAGCTGCAATATCAGTAGAGGTCAGCTGAGAAAAACCGCCAGCAGCAGGAAGCAGACTGTTCACGTGAACAGTCGCGTGAATAGTACTCCCTGACCAAAAACAGCAAAAAAGCCACCGGAATGTCCCCCCAGCTGCATTTAATGTACAAATGTTGCCTAAGCTTCCCAGCAGGGTAAAGGAAGCAAACACACCAGCTGCGAGAAGCCAAGCAATGAGAAACAAAAGCCCCAGCCCGATTGGATGATTCATAAGTAAAAACCAAAGAATCAAAAATTAGTAAACTTTTTCCTTGACGTTTTAACACCTTGTTGATCCTGGATCTGAATTAATTTTGCCCGGAAAGGAATCTTCAAATCACGTGTGAAATCCGAAGAGGCACCCTCCAAAACAGCAAGGTTTGCAAGACAGTCAGCTAAGCAATTTGCTTCCCTGTATACATGAGCCAAACTAAAATTCATGCCCTTCAATAACTCCATGATCTCATCACAAATCTTCCAAAACTTCCGGGCCCTCATGTGCCCTTTCATCACCATTTGGACCATCACCGCTGAATTAGTTTCAATCAGAAGGCCACAGTCTAACAGCCCATAACTTCTAAACAACAATAAACCATCCTTGAGTGCATAAAGCTCAACCTCCATGTTTGAACAAACCTCATAGAAAAAAGAAGCAGCCAAGACAATGTGCCCCCATTCATTCCTTACCACAGCTCCAGCCCCAGCTCTTCCAGGATTTCCTTTCGATGCCCCATCCACATTTAGCTTTAAAAAACCGGAGGGAGGAGGGGACCAGTTAATCCAAATAATTTTTGGTTCCAGTTCCTGCCTCATCTCCACCTTTAAGGCCCTCAAAAGATCCATCCCCATCATGCCTTCCTTTGCCTTGGGACGAGTACCATAAGCCCGAAGACGCAAAGAGGAGCAAATATCAAGAAAAACAGCATGGGCCGAAAGTGAGATATCTTCATAGACTCTTCTGCATCGCTCCCTCCATAGTCTCTAAAAGACCACCAGTGAAGTACCTCTTAATAGGTTATTGCTAACAGAGTTTTTTTTTTAAATTCTGATCAACCTCATCATACGAACCATGGGAGATTCAGCCGAGAAAATCTGAAATCCACAAAAGGCAGCAAGCTTCCCCCAAACCTCTTTAGTAAAGTTGCATTGTGTGAATAGGTGAGTCGTAGTTTCCACTTCCTGATGGCATAGAGGGCATCTACTGGCCAATTCAACGCCAATACGTTGGAAATTTGAGTCCACCACCACAGCTTTCATATGTATCTTCCATCCCAGCAGTTTTGCACTTGGAAAGACAGATTGGTTCTAGATCGCAGAGGTTATAGGCACAGGGTTATTTGAAGTTCTCACCGCCTGCCAAGCTGATTTGACATTGAACTCTCCCGACTCGGTTAATTTCCATATCAATCGATCTTCTTTGCCACATAAACGAATCCCAGAGTTATGGATTTCGTGCTTTAATTGCTCAGAAATCTGGACTCCCAATAACTGCCACTACCAGTCCCCTCTTGCCCATATCGCATCTAGACTTAGAAAGCTCGAGGGGGAGACATCGTGCCTGAGCAATAAAGGGCCAGATCCTGCCCAGTTCGTGCACCAAAAATCCACAGACTTCCCGTTTCCCACCAAAACCTAGGAGTTCTCCATAACCAAGCAAAAGAAAGGTTGCAGCATTCGAAATGTACGAGCTTTTGCAGTGCCCAGACATCATAACATGTGTTTGCCTTTTAAGAATTTTGCTCTAAACATGTTCGCCCAAAGAGAGTCACCCTTTAGAATTCCCCATACCTGCTTCCATCGAAAAGCAGTTTGGATGTCCTCAAATTTACGAATTCCAAGCCCCCCTCTTGCTTGGGTCTTAAAATATCTTGAAACTCAATGCCTTTTCCTCTCCCCCATCCTGCCTGACCAAATAAAGGAGGCCATCAAAGACTTCAACTTGACCAGGATGCCTTTGGGCACCCTAAGACAAGAGAGCAAGTGAATAGGGACTGCACTGAGGACCGATTGAACCAATACAATTCTGCCCATGTTTGATAGCAAGCATGCATACCACCCTTCCAATTTAGCCTTGAATTTTAGAACCACTTCCTCAAAATCCCGGAGTTTATATCTTCCTCTAATTATGGGGCAGCCTAGGTAGGTGAAGGGGCATTGTTTAATTGGAATTTGTGCAATTTTGGAAAGTGTCATTCTCCTGACCAGGGGAATTTTGGAGGAGCAGATTAAGGAACTTTTCTGCTTGCTTATTCTCTGACCAGAGCACTCCTCGTATCTTGCCAAAAATCTCACCATTTGTTCCATGGATAGTTTATTCCCCCTAAGAAACAACAGAGTGTCATCTGCAAAAAGAGGATGAGAAATAAGAAGAGCACCCCTCCCTGCATGAAAAGCCTTGATTCTGCCTTCACCATACAGCTTCATCAAGCCCCTGCTTAACACTTCCTTGGCCAAAATAAAGAGAGCAGGTGAGATTGGGCCACCTTGTCTCAACCCTCTAGACGAAGGAAAATTGCCAAATCTTTTCCCATTCAAGCAGACCGAGAAGAATTGGTTCTTTAGGAAGTTACCAATGATGGAAACAAATAAGTTTGAAAAACCAAAACAGCCCAAAGTTCTTTCCAAAAAGTCCCACACCAATGCGGTCATATGCCTTCATCATATCCAATTTAAGAATCACGTTGCCTGCTTCGACTTTTCTATCAAGCTCGCCCACCATTAACTGTGCTAAAGAAATACAATCCCCAATCCCTCTCCCTTTGACAAAACCGTGTTTTGCATTTGAGATCAGAGACGGAATGAGAGCCACAAGTCTATTGGATAGGACCTTCGTGAAGACTTTGTACAAAAAATTGCATAGGCTTATGGGCCTAAAGTCTGTGAAAGAGCAAGGCTTCATCACTTTTGGAATCAAACACAAGGAGTGTGGAGTTAACAGATCTTGGAATCACTCCCCCACTCAAGAAAAAATTAACCGCCTCCAAAAGGTCGCTTTTAACAATATCCCATGCTACTTGAAAGAATCTACCAGAAAAACCGTCAGCGCCAGGGACGCTTTCCACAGACATAGAAAAGACAACCTGTTTCACTTCGGTTAAGGTAGCAGTCATAGTCAAGATCTCGTTAGCCGCTGGTCCAACAAGTTTAGGAATAACCCCAAATAGCTCTTCATCAAGCCCATGGTCCTCTGACATGTACAGTTTAGCAAAAAAGGTTGTGGCCTGTTGAGAGATCTCCTCCTCAGAGTCACACCATTCACCATCTTCACCTTTAATCCTCATCAGTCTGTTCCTCACAGCCTTCCCTTTGGCCAAAGCATGAAAGAACTTGGTATTCCTCTCCCCGTGTAGTGCCCATTTTATGTTAGCTTTTTGTCTCCAGTACAATTCTTCCAACCTAAGTGTTTCCTCTAGATTCTTTCTTGCAGAGTAGTTATCATCCACAGAACGTTCTGCCTCTCGCAAAGCCAATTCCTGCATACTAATCTTTTCAAAAATGTTCCCAAACACCTCCTTGTTCCATTTTTTGATATTAAACTTTAGCATTTTTAGTTTGAGGAAGAAGTTCTCAGCGTTAGCAAACATTCTGTCCAGCCGTTGCCACATTCTCGAATTAGCCCCTCCGATTGAATACAGTCCCCAAATTCATCCATTGCCAACACAGATGGAGAGGCACCCCCCCATTCTTTCATTTGACCTCATCACAATGTTAAAATCCCCCATCACCAACCAGGGCATAGCAAAGGATGTAGAAATAACCTGTAAGTGTCCCCACAAGGGCCTCCTTAACAAGTAAGTCACAACAACCATACACCACCGTAACTAACACTGGATCAGCTCCCTGGTAGGAGACTGACACGGTCATAGCTTGTTCAAAGTGCAGCATGCTCTTAACTTCCAAGTTATCATTCCATAAAAGCCACATATTTTTCTCTGCCTTTGTGTTTGCCATAAAAGAATTTAACCCAACAGCAAGACCAAAATTCCTTAGTTTGGTATGGGACATTTTTGGTTCAATAACAGCGAGAAGACTCACCTTATTCATTACAATTAATTTCTTTAATTTGCTTCTTAGGCTCTCTTTTCCAGCACCCCTTACATTCCACATTAGGAAATTC